TCTCTCTCTCTCTCTCTCTCTCTCTCTCTCTCTCTCTCTCTCTCTCTCTCTCTCTCTCTCTCTCTCTCTCTCTCTCTCTCTCCGTGTGTGTGTGAGTGTGTCTGTCTCTTTTCCGCACGAGACGTTTTCGAACGTGTGCGTGCTCGACCCTTAACGCGTAAGATTTCAAGAAGACGAAGAAGAAAAGAAGAGAAGTAAGCAGAGAGGAGGCGGAGGGAGACATGGAGGGAATGGTGGAAGAGAAAAGAACAAAGAAGAAGAAGAAGACGAAGACGAGGACCTGAAGGACGGTGGGAGAGGGGGGTGTCTGGTAGGAGGGAAGTCCGCGCACCTGGTCCGTAGAGATCGGCAATGGTGATGCTCGAGTTGCATGGCGCGAGGCGCGCATGTCGATGAGCCGCAGAGCCGCGGAGCAGCGGGCCAGCGGGGCGTCCGCGGGGCGAAGCGGGGGCAGTTTCCCGCGGGGTACACGAAAACGCGCCACCCAAAAAAAAAAAAAAAAAAAAAGGCCGCCCCACTGGCCCTTCGCAATTGGAATTCAAAACTGGCCCGATCGAGGACGTCGATCTTCGCAGATGGACGGCCAAGATCGGACCTGATTTACTTTAAAACACCCGAAGGGCCTGCCGTTGTTCTCCAAACGCGGGTGTATGTGCCGAGGTGATACCCCTATCGGCCCCAAAGTCAGAAATCGGGGCCTGATCCGTTTTTTTTCCCTTTTTCCCTTAGTTCCTTTTTTGGTGGGCGGAATATGCGTTATACCCCTCAAAAAGAGCTCTATACCAAAATGCCCCTATAATATCTGGGTGAAGCGGAATGCCATTTCGGCCTGAATAATCTGCGATATGCCCCTGTCAGTGGGGCATGCAAATTTGCAATCTACACATCTCCATTTGGGCCTGGGCCTGGGCCTGCACCCTGTCTTACCTAGTTTGCCTTGCCTGGGTGGTGGACAACCGTGCAGAATACCCAGGCCTTAGACGCGGCAACCCTAAACCCTAAACTCGAACTTTCATGGGTTCGCAAGCTGCAGCCTGGGGCAAGGTCCCACTTGCACGGATTAAGAGATTCTGGCCGTTGATCTTTGCTATCTACGGTCAGTATCTCTTAATTCGTGCAAGTGGGACCTAGCCCCTGGTAAGTTCCTCCATCTCCGACCTCAACCTCCTCCTCGCTCACCATTCCTCCAAGTCTCCTCCCTCGGTGTGTGGTCATAGTCGCTATACACTCAAAAAAAGCATGACTGTGGGCCTCGCTGTACTTCTTTTTTCTTTTTTTTTTTCCAGGGTGGCAGCCAATCATTGTCCTGACAGGATAGGCCACCTAACCTACCCATCCCCACGTGAACAGGGACCCCCACTTTTCCGCCCCAGGTTAACACCCCCAACTCTAAAAACCGTATTCGGATAGGCTACCAGAGTGGCCCGGGACCACTGCCCGGCCAGGCAAAAAAATATGAAAAAATAAAATAAAATAAAATAAATTCTAACTTCATTAAGGGCTACTTGGTGACGAATTTCATGCAATCTTTGCGCTTGGGGCAATGATGCAGTCCATGAGGGTTAATTGGTAACGAATTTCGATGCGAGCCTGAGGCAAAGTTGTTCAGTTTATTTTCTGCATAGCATAATGTTTTTCAAAATTTTTGGAGTTTTTTTGTTGGGGCCTTCTTTGGCCCTTGCACGGTCGGGCCGCCCGGGCAAATAAGGTGACCCTGAAAATACCCTGAAAATTCGGGGATTTTTTAGGTTTTTTTTTTTTTTTGCCCTGTTTTATTTTTGGTCAAGGTCTACGTATGCCAAGTTTGGTGTTTGTTGGGGTCTTAGAGATGACTGTGTTGGTCAACCCTGTAAATCTTGAAAAACTGAAAAGAGCGAATTTTGCATGAAAACACACTTTTGCCTCGGGGTTTTAGACCCTTTCGATCCACTTTTTTACTCTTTTTTTTGCTATTGGTTTATTTGGTGTCCACTCTATCATGATGGATTGGTGGCAAGTCTAGCGCAAAAGGTGTGGGGCGTTTGTTACAATGACCCTGAAAAGACCCTGAAAATTTAATGCTCTGTTAACCTCTTCTCTCCTGGTTAAAGGAGCATTTGCTTGTTCGCTAACTTCCTCCTATACTACTTGCACATGCCTAGTACGACGGATTGGATGACGTCCGTATATCGTGACACTGTACCACCCTCCTCCCCTGTAACCCTACTGTGGCCCGTACCAGAACCGAGTGCCCTGGTTCTGAGAATAGTTTATCCTATCCTACTGCAACCACTCACTCTTATAACCCCTTAGCCCCTGTCTCTCAATAGGGTCACCGCAAGCACCCATTTTGATAGCACCAGTACCTTTTTTGAATGCACAACCAGCAACTGGTGATCTTTTGCCCAAGTGTGTAGAAACGAGTGAAGCTGGCGGCGCTACCCTTGTTGGATTTAGCCTTGCGTCTCCAGTCTGCCCAAATAACATGCTTCAAACCTTAATTGATGTAGTGCTTTGTTTTCAAATCTAAGAACGATCGTTTTTGAAACCTATACCTGTTTCTGTCTGCCCAAATTGGCTCGCAAATCAGGCCTCTCACCACATATGTGCTATGTAGCCCTACCCACGACACCCTTGAACATCCAACAGCAGGAAACCGAACAACACCCACTTTTCATCCCACTTCACTCCTCTAGCCTCCGAAGTCCCTTCAATGGTGGACCCACTAGTTCCAGATTCGTTTAGAGGTGGGGCAATCCCACCACATGTGTTTCGTGAATTCAAACGGCCATTTGCACCCTGTACATGCCAGATTCACCTCCATGCCTCTGCTTGTTAGCCAAACAACAGAGGGGGATACCATCAATGACAATATTTATAGCAAGCTGACCTGCTTTATGTCTGGGAGGGCATGACAAAGTTTTCCGTAATCTTTCAAATTATGGCGCCGGATTTTATAGGTCCTGATTCCATATGGCCTGCCAATGGGGAATCGCCATTTGAGTCGGACATTTTAGCTTGTGGGTGTACTGCTTGTACCCTGCGGCGATCGAGTAGTTTTGAAGGCTCGGCGTGCCATCTTCTGCTGATTTTGGTATCCAACTCCAGGCAGTTGGGTCACTACATAATTGGTTGAGTGGGAGTCTTCCCACCCAAGTGTGAACGCACGTGGCAGGTCTTTTGCTCCTCACTGTCAAGACTCGGACTTATGCAGGGTTGTCCCAGACCAACAACGTGTCCTTTTCTACTAGTGACACGACAGTCAATGGGCCTCCACACTTCCACATTTCAATCTCCCTGATACCCCGGGCATGATTTCCAACAACTTCCACAGTTCTCTCGCATCCCCCTCCTGGTTCGGAACATACCAGGTTTTTGTATGGTCTAATAATTTTTGGCCCAGAATGGCCAACCAATCTTGCAGGATGGCACTGGTCAGGTGCCTCTACTGCTCTTTCACTCTCTGCAAACCTCTGAATGAGGTTTTTACTTCAGCTAATGGTTTTTAACCTCCGAGAATAGCCGACCACAGATCTGAGACTCGCACAATCCCCCTCCCGATCCATACTTGTCCAAAGGTTCCCGTGGAACCATCCACTAGGAAGACTATCCTTGCTTAGTCCATTACTTTTGGGTTCTCGAATAGCAGCTTATTCAACACTTCTTCCTTGGTGGAAGAATGGGTCTGCACATCTTGAGAGATGCAGTTCCACGCACGACGAATTGGTTCCCAAAATTTGGGTTTGAGTATCTTCTTACGGAAGGAAGGTATAAAGAAGCAGGCCAAGGCATCCTGACTCGGAGCCCTACTTAAACTTCATTCACTCATCAGGATACGTTCGACCACAACTACCCAGTGCTCCCGTATCTTCAAAGTGGTTATTTTGGCCACCCAGTTCCTTAGCTGGGCCTGATTTCTGTGAGTTGGGTCTACTAGGCCAAGTTTCCCTTTGGGCTGAGGGAATGTGAGTGTGTCCATTGCTACCTTGGACAAGAATCCCTCGATGATCTGGGTGCGAGGTTTCCATAGGAAATGTGCCACTGATCTCCTGACCGCTTATCACACCCGCTACCAGCTCCCTTACTGTTGATGCAAACCATAGGATCGAAAATAGGGCCACATTCGAAACTAGTGCTCTGCCAAGCAGGGATAGGTGCCATGTGTTACCCTACAACCTAAGTCTGACTGTGATCCGCTGTTGAAGCAAAAAGGCTTGAGATGATGCTTCTATCTGAATACTGATCAAAACGCCTAAAAATCTTTCTTCCTCCCCACTCTTCACCCTCCTCATTCCCCATTCAACCTCCAAGGAGAATTGTGCTGGAAGCAAATAGGTCGACTTATTCCAGTTAACTGTTGCCTTGGATAAAGGTGAGTACTCCCACATCACAATCTTTAGAGCGGACAACGAAAAGGTGGAGTTCTCCAAAATTGTGAAGAGGTCGCCTGTAAGTGCCTGCACTCTGCACATCTTCCCGGTGTGCAGTTGCGAGCCTCTTATAATTGAGTGTCTACGGATCCGGTTCAATAGGACTTCTAGCTTCAGTACAAAGATGAGGGGAGCAAGTTGGCAGCCTTGGCGCAACGACCTCATGAGTGGGAAAGAATCAAACGGGTGTCCATTAACCATGATCGTCGACGAGGATAAGGTATACATGATTATTACCCATGTGCAAAACCTCATCCTCCTTAGTGTGGTGAGGACGAACGTTCATCCCACCTTATCATAGTAAGGCTTTTAAGTTTTTTCTAAGAATAGAAGTAGAACAACCATGTCTAGATTTTCGCATTGCACCACCTCCAAGGTTTTGATGTTTATCAGTCTATTGTTGAATATCGATCTACCTTGAACAAAGGCTCCCTTATCTCCTTCCACCAGATTTGGTAGGTGCTTTGAGAGTCTGCGTACCGACGTCTTTGCAAATATTTTGTAAGACATGTTGAGGAGGAAGATTCGATGCCAATTACGAACGACTGCCTTCTCACCCTTTTTGAAGAGAACCGCTATCACCCGGTAAGTCATTCCCTTTCCTAATATGCCCCCCATCATAACCTCGTTGTACTTGAGAACTTGTGTTACTTCCTCTAGTGAGAGAGGTCGGTCCAGGTCCAATTTTGTTGTGGTCTACAGTTTTACTGTGGTGTCTTCCCACAAGTCCAAGAATCCAGAGAGGTCCGTGTTTACGTCCTTATATAGCCTTCTTGTCGTGAGGATATTCTCATACTACAATCTAGCATATTGGAGCATGTTTGTGGTTGAACTCGCGAGGGAAGTGACAACATCGAATGGGTGCCTTCGTTCTACCATTTGCTTTTGGGCACGCCTCGGCTGCAATCTTTGAAAGGTTTCCTTGGATAAATTATCACTTGTCTCAATTCTTTTTACCTTCAATATGTCACTCCACCTTTTCTGCTTCTCCTCCTGCATGTTGTCCTACTCATTCATGCGTCTT